TAGTCAGTCGTACGTTTGAAATAGACGGAAAAACAAATTGGAAATTACCTATAAACCACAAGCGGATTATGTGCTGATATTACAAGCAAAAATGGTCGTATGCAAAAGAATTACCTTGACGTTGAGGGAAAAACTAGAGAACGCTATCTCATAAACTACAGGGTATAAATTATAAGGGTATGTGTTAGTATTAGGAGCAAAAGGGAATTACATGCAAAACTTGTAACCATTTACCTTACAATTAAACCATAATTGAGGGGTAATAGCCATAATTTAGCAAAAATATGTTCTCGAACATTCTCGTAATTCAAGAATCCCATAGAGAACAAACGTAAGGCTACCAACCTTCCACGTGTACCCTAATCCCCAATTTGACTATACATTCCTCGAAAAACAAACTCTCCTTATCAAGAGAAACCCTTACAAAAGGACTTGAATCCCTTCGAACACAACACACACACACACACACACTACATTAAATAATAAAAATTAAAAATAAAAATAAAAATGGCGAAGAAAGCGATGGAAGTGGTGAAGTGTTTGGATGTGGAGAGGTACATGGGAAGATGGTACGAGATAGCTTCGTTCCCATCTAGGTTTCAGCCCAAGAGCGGCGCCGACACCCGGGCCACCTACACACTCAACCCCGACGGCACCGTACACGTTTTGAACGAGACTTTTTCCGACGGTAAGAGGGGTTTCATCGAAGGCTCCGCTTACAAGGTTGACCCAAACAGCGACGAGGCTAAGCTTAAAGTCAAATTCTATGTGCCGCCGTTTCTGCCCATTATTCCGGTCACCGGAGATTACTGGGTTCTGCACATTGATGACGATTATCAGTATGCTCTCGTTGGTCAGCCCACCAGAAAATATCTATGGGTATCTTTTATTATTTTTTATTATTTATTTTTAATTATCTTTAATCTTCAATTTTAGTTTGGTTGACACAATAGGATATAAAACTATTCAATTTCATTGGCCCTAGTTATATATATAGTAGAATCACTTAAATAATAATTTCTTCTGCTACCGACTTGGCGAGACGTATTAGATTATTAATTCGATAATTTCATGATTCTATTAAATTAATAGAATTTTTCTAGTTCCGACTATATTAATTTGTAGAGGTTTACCTGTAGATGGATAAGCGGTTCAATCTATGATTAAATCCTCAATAGATGAAGGAAAATATCCATTCTATATATATAAAAAAATCGAGTTGGGCCGTTTAATAGTTGTTGTGCTAACCATGCATTGGATACGTTGAGTGACCACTTCGTCTATAAGCTTACGGTGTTAATGACGTGGATTGTTTGATATCGGGCTGTTTTAAATTTTGCGAAGCCTAACAAAATTGATTTGTTTGTTTAAAAGCGGTGGCGGCGTGATTTCGAATACATAATCATGGTTTATGTTGCTATGAAATGAGATCCAAGTGTGCTGAGTTTCTTGATTTTTTTATTTTGTTTTGCAGATTTTAAGCAGGCAGCCTCGGTTGGATGAGGAGATATACAATCAGCTATTGGAGAAGGCTAAAGAAGAGGGATATGATGTCAGCAAACTGCAGAAAACAGCACAATCAGAAACTCCACCGGAGAGTGAGAGTGCACCGAAAGACACTAAAGGAGTTTGGTGGATCAAATCGATTCTTGGGAAATAGTAAGCTACATTGTTGTTATTAATACGAGTACGATCAGTCTTGAGATATTATCAAGTTTCGATGAATAAGTGGGGCATATGTTTTGATGTTTTTGTAGTCCGAATATCTGTGTTTTGTATTGTGAATCTATGTTGATGACAATTCCGCGTATTTTCAGTTCTTTGAGGTTTTCTTTATATGTGTAGTCTTGATCTGTATATAAGATCCAAGATTTCCGAGGTTCGGAGCTTGTAATATAATTTGTTTTCAATTATGATTTGTATATGTTATGTATGTACCGAGAGTTTCAAGTGTGAAACGGTGCAAATTTATGCATCACGGTTTGATCTTACGCACAATTACACACAAACTTACGGGTAGGGTAAAACCTGTACTGGATAAATACACGTGTCGGTTGTTCAATTAAATAACAATTAACATATAATCAGCTTGACTAAAAAGCCTTAAAATTCATACTGAAATAGCATCGTATCAACATAACAACCGAAATTCGTGAACACGATTCCCCCTTTTCTCAACGTGAAACAAAGATGAAAAGAGGAAAAAAGCAAAAGATTTCAGCATCACAACCGTATTTTAAGTGATATAAACAACTCTGTCGAACTTCATATTTATCAACAGCAACTTAAGCCATACATATATGAGATAGCCATAGCCCCTATCTTCCGATAGAAGCACTTACAAGATCGTACAACATTGATTAGTTTTCTTCGCCTGCTTGTAAAACATCTGTTTCAAAAATTTCAAGAAAAAAGGTTTATCATCAGCAATGGTAAAACGAACATATGCCGGTACTTTCGTTGTATTTCAAGCTGTGAATAACTAATTGCAGATATTTTCTTTCAATTATAAGTTAGATATTCATTGATCTCAAGCTTCAACAGCCCATAAACGAGCGAACAAACTTCTTGTCAGTTGAGAGGAAATACTAACAAAATTATCACTCCTTGTAAAAGTCGGATTATTGAATGATTAGGGGAAACGGTAACCGGTTTGTCGGTTTATATGGTTTATCCTTTACGTGAAAGTTGAACTAAAAGAGAAGCTAACAAACATGAAGATACAATCAGGTAAAATATGTATGGATAACTAACCTGAGAAGCTGCGCTGAGATCTGAACTCTTATCAACCAAACTATCTAGCTTCTCCCCTCGCTCTAGAACACTGTCGATAGTCTTGTGCTGAGACAAAGAACAAACGTATTTATTAAAAGAAAAAAAATGTATTTACACCATGTTAAGAAGGTTACAGAAAACGAGAGAAGAAAGGGAGAGATTAATCAAAAAGCCTATAGAATTCTGAAAATGTTCTAGCAAAAATAATTTGGATATTTCGGCAACTATTTAGCCATTGCTGATATTATTTGTACCAGCTTGTAAATATCGAATTACCACACTAGAATATCTACTTGGTAGGTGACTATTTGAAACCTTCACAACTCAATCTTCTGAACATTTTGAAAGAAAAAGGCGAGTGGCTGAATATTAAGAAAACGATTTTGAAATCCTATACCAACCAAACAGGAAATGGCCTTTGGTCTTCACGAGAGACGAGGGCTATATTGTCAGAAATAGCAAAATAAGCCCTACATCTTGAGTGATTAACGCAGATAATACCATTTTCAAGTAGAATTGTAAAAAGATGAATATATACAGATTCAGAAATATCCATGTTTGGATCATCTTCTGTTCAGTAAAATACCAACTTCTGGACGATAGTTTCTACAAAAAATCCTTGCAAGAAATTACCTCAAACGTCACGAGCTAGGAAAAATCAGTATGGAATCGCATAGAACAAATTTTCAACTTTTTATTATTTACTCGAACTTGAAAATGCATACCGAAGCAAAAAAGTTCTCATAAAACATCTGATGCCAAATGCCAGTTAACAATATGACGGGAGAAGGGTACTTACAAGAATAATTTTAGTTTCATCTAACTCCCTCTGAATTTTCAACAGCTTGTCAGCCTCAGCAGGATCCTAAACATTTACGTGGCAAAGAAGTTAAGAAAATATGAGATAAATATAAAGCCAAAGTACCACCAGTCTCGATTCTCGTAACAGAGCGAAGAAAGACTTAAATAAATACCTGAAATTTGGTCAATGCCTCACTTAGATAGGGCCATTGTTGAGCATTATCAGCTTGCACAGTTTTCCATGAATCACCAAAGTTCTTGAGATATTCATCCAAGACCTGCCAAACAATTTTTACATTTTATTGCAACTCAATAATCAGTCGAAGAAAAAAAAATAAAGAAAAACTCTCACCCACGAAAATAGTTTAAATACCTGGTTGAACAATGAGAATGCACTTCGGACAGGATAGTGATCGTCCATAAAACCCAACGCGCACAGGCCATTTCGATTGTATGAATGAACTTTGTACTCTGATTTACCAATGAACAAAAGAAAATTTCAAAAATTTGGTAAAACTTTTTACGGAGAAATAGGATACATTTGTGAAAACAAAATGAACTCTTACATACACGATGCACGTCAATTTGTCACTCATCCAATTGAAGTAAATTTTCTCAATTACGTAAATCAAATTCGATCAAATATAATCACCACCAATGAACTTGAACAGAATCTAGATACCAAATTCCGAACATAAACCTCCATTTTTACAGTTTATATATGAACTTGATAATCAAATAGACCTAAATCCTAATAAATAAATCAACCAACAACGAAACACAACCGATCATAAATCAAGCTGAAATTACCTTCTTAACACACATAAACATAATTATCATATCAACTGAAGCAGATAAAAAATAAGAAAATCAACAAAATTAGAACGCCAAAAAACAAAATTCACAACTCATTAATCCCCAAAACAGAATAACAACAGAACTCCCAAAATCAAGTAATCAAAATTAAAATCAGCAAAAACAAATTAAGAATGAAAATTGAAAACCGCATAAATCAAAATCAATCGTATAACAGGAGAGAATTGAAATAATCAAATCGGAGCATACCTTCGTGCTGTACGGACTGACGCTGGCCGGGCGGGGTCCGTTTAGCTACGGTCCGCCCCACGAAAACAATGAATTCCTTAACGCTGGGGCGTTGAAAAAACCCGAAGCTGCTGAGATCTGATGCGTTGGCTAATATAACCGGATCCGAACCCTCCGAATTGCATTTCAGCACCATCAACGCCGTGATCTTCACCATCTTTTTTTTTTTTTTTTTTTTAATAATAAACCACAAAATTAGCAGTAAATAAGAGGATTGTGTTCTGTGCTAGTAAACAAAAAATTAGAGGAAGAAAAATAATACAAAAACCCAACAATGATTGGAAATATTGGGATATAATATATGAATGTGTGCGTAACTGCGTATATATATATAAATATATATATAGAAATATGTATTTGTTGGATTGTTTTATTGTTTATGCTTTCGAATGGGAAAAAGTGTGGATTGATGGATCTGATGCCCAGCGGTAGCGTTCTTTGAAAGGACCGCAATTTGTAAAATACATCTAAGCCCCTTAATTTTATCTAATGATGCATTCGCCCCCAAACTATTATATGCAATGTTTTAGTCCCTTAAGTGTAGCTAGAATTACGATCCAATTTAACACTTTTGCAAATTCTTTTTTGTTTTGTTAAACTTTATAAGTGAAGAATTAATTCCAATCTCATTCGAAAATTCTGGAAAATTTCGAAAACTGGAACGAATAAACTTGTTTTAAAATCGAAAATTTTCTAATAGGCGGCATTCTGAAATTTTAATTTTCTCCAGATATATAATATTATTGATATTATAAATACAATTTTAAGAAAATGGACAATCGGAATTTTGAATCCGAAAAAATGGAAAGAAGAAAACAAAATTTAAATTGGTCTAAAATAAAATATAAATCCTAGTCCGAATTGAGGAATATATAATAATATTGATATTATAAAAATAGTTTTAGGAAAATGGAATTTTTTAAAATCAAAATTGGAATTTAGAATCCAAAAATTTGAAAAGAAAAAAAAAAGCAAAACTATATTGTTCTAAAATAAAATACTTCTAGAATAAATAAAATAAAATGCAATTAAAAAAATAATACAAGAAATGTTAGGAGGGTAAAGTTGGAATATAACGAAAATGCCGACAGACAAACCAATGGGTCACATTTAACAATAAACAATTATTCTCGTCCATCGATTTTCGGACCATCACTGCTGGAGGTGGAAAACAGGGTGGATCCATCTCGTTAATTGTTCCATTAATCACACACTAATTAACACTAGCTACTTAATTAACTAAACAAATGGGCAAAATTGCAAAGTAAACAAACATCCCTTTGATTTCTTATTATTTACCGCATTAACAAATAACAAGTGTTAAGAAACAAGAGAGAGAGAGAGAGAGAGAGAGAGAGAGAGAGAGAGAGAGAGAGATGAGTTGGTTGAAGTGGTGCTTGGTAATATTTGCAGTGTTCTCAGCACTGTGCGTATCTGGGCCGGCTTTGTACTATAAATTGAGCAACAATGGTTTGAAATTGAAAGGCGTTTCATCTGCTTGTACTCCCTGCAGTTGCCATTGTACCCCTCCCAAATCCATTCTTCAGGTTATTCCTGGTATGCCCCTACCTTGTTCTTCACCTTCTTTCTTTTTTTCTTTTTTTTCTTTTGTTCAAAAGATTATATACCACATTCTGATTTTTAGATTCTATTGTTTCTGGTTTTATTTTTTAGGCAATTTATGATGGATGAACCCTAGTCTTGATTTGCTTCAATTGTTAAATAACATGAGTTAATGATATTTGGTCGTCAAGATTCAACCCGAGCCTACCAGCTTATTAGATGTAATAGCTTATCAGTTGTTCAAAATAAGTTTATTCAAACTATTAAATATTCCGTCCGTTTCACATTAACCGTCACTTTAGAGAATCTTTTTCTCTCTATATTACTTGTCACTTTAGATTAAACGATCAATGTTATTTTAGTCTTTTTAATATATGTTTTTCCTAAAATCAAGAAACATTTACTGAAATTCTTGATAGTTATGCAAAAGTGAAAAACGACTATTATTTAAGAGCAGTGGGATTATTATTATTCAATAAAATTAGTATATCTGTTTTTCGCAATTTTTGGTTATGTCATCTCCCTTCCTAGGTTCATAATTATGATTCTATGGCATATATATTTTTTTTCTTTAATTTATTTACAATTGTTTCTTTTTAAATTAAAAAGATATAATTGCTGTTCAATACGGCCTTCCAAAGATTTCGTAAACCCGATTTTGACAGTTTCCGGTTATTTTTTTCTGCAGGGTTGGCTAATCTCACTATTACAGGTAAAAACAAGTCGATATTTGTTGTCTGAATGATATCAAGTTTTGATTGAAAAAGTTAATTACAATCTCAAATGATTTCGAAAAATTTGACAGAATGTGGAAAAGATGACCCTGATTTAAAGGAAGAGATGGAGAAGCAATTTGTGGATTTATTGTCGGAAGAGATAAGACTGCAAGGAACTGTAGGGAAAGAGCACTCGCAACATATGAACATCAACTTGAGAGAAGCTAAAAGAGTAGCTACGCAGTATCAGAGAGAAGCCGAGAAATGCAATGCTGCTACGGAAACGTGCGAAGGAGCTCGTGAACGAGCCGAGACACTTCTCAGTAAGGAGAAGAAATTAACTTTGCTTTGGGAACGAAAAGCTAGGCTACTCGGTTGGGAAAGTAATTAAAACATTCCGATGCTCTGTATTTCAAATTATCGAACAATAATTGATTTTTTTATTTTATTTTATTTTTCTGTCCAATTTTTAGAATTCGAATCCGGTTACAGATGAGAAAATTTAGGGGTGGAGTTAACATTTTCGGAAAAAAAAAATCAGTTTTTTTTTTCCGGAAGTGAAAATCGCAAAGGGGATCACTATTTCAAATCCCAACTTTTGCTTACTTGAATACCAAAAAAATGAAAAATAAATAATTAATTGTAAATTACTTTAATACCCTTAATGAATTAAAACAAAAAAAATATTACAAATACTATTTTTCTTTCTTAAATACCAAATAATCAAAAACTCAAAAAAACCATTTCCCTCCTTACTCACAAACCCCTCACCTCCTCCACCTCCTTCTTCTCCCTCCCAAAAAACCCTTCTAAAAAATCTTCCTCACAACAAACCCTTCTACAAAATCTCACAACAAACCCTTTTAAAAAATCTCAAAACTAAAGAAATTAAAACCTCACAAAACTTATAAAATTGAGTTATAAGACAATAATATGGTAGTATATATGAAAGGAGAACACATTAAGGTAAGTATCGATGTCTTTTTTGAGCTTCGAAGTCGATTTTGAAGTTTTTTTTTTTTGAAACCCGCCGGCAATTTTCGACACATACAGGTCGATTTTTTGGTCAATTTTCGACACCAACGTGTCGAAACAAAAAAAAAAAAAAAAAAAACAAATTTCGACACATACTTGTCGAAATTCTCCAGATTTACAATGGTATGTGTCGTAAAAATA